ATCTTCCACTGGTTATCGAGCCTCTAATTAAGACTGCCTCAGCTAAACCTGACGTCGCTCTCTTAGACACACAAGACGTGGAGAACATGAGTGATGATGATGGCTGGCAGTTTGTAAATCTTGGAGACCAGCAAAGCTTTGGAATTAAAACTTCGGGACTTGAAGCAAAAGCAACTGCTTGCCAGATGTTGGTATACTATGCTAAGGAGTTAAGAGAAGGATTTGTGGAATACACAGAACAAGTTGTGAAGCTGATGGTCCCTTTGTTGAAATTTTATTTTCATGACAATGTTCGAGTGGCAGCTGCAGAAGCCATGCCCTTTCTCTTGGAATGTGCAAGAATTCGTGGCTCAGAGTATCTTTCACAGATGTGGCAGTTTATATGTGATCCCTTAATCAAGGCTATTGGGACTGAACCTGATACTGATGTACTTTCAGAAATAATGAATTCTTTTGCAAAGTCCATTGAGGTAATGGGGGATGGTTGTCTTAATGATGAACACTTGGAAGAACTGGGAGGAATTTTGAAGGCAAAACTTGAAGGGCACTTTAAAAACCAAGAGTTACGGCAAGTAAAAAGGCAAGAAGAGAATTATGACCAACAGGTTGAAATGTCTCTTCAAGATGAGGATGAATGTGATGTTTACATTCTGACCAAAGTATCAGATATTCTACACTCATTATTTAGCACTTACAAGGAAAAGATTTTGCCATGGTTTGAACAGCTACTTCCACTAATTGTGAATCTAATTTGTTCAAGTAGGCCATGGCCAGACCGACAGTGGGGATTGTGCATATTTGATGATATCATAGAGCACTGCAGTCCAACCTCATTCAAATATGTTGAGTATTTTCGGTGGCCGATGCTACTCAATATGCGAGATAACAACCCCGAAGTCAGGCAAGCTGCTGCTTATGGATTGGGCGTCATGGCACAGTTTGGTGGAGATGATTATCGTTCTTTATGTTCAGAAGCTGTTCCACTGTTGGTAAAGGTTATTAAGTGTGCAAATTCCAAAACCAAAAAAAATGTCATTGCTACAGAGAACTGTATCTCAGCAATAGGAAAGATTATGAAGTTCAAGCCCAATTGTGTAAACATAGATGAAGTTCTCCCACACTGGCTGTCATGGCTTCCGCTGCATGAAGATAAAGAAGAAGCTATTCAGACTTTGAATTTTCTCTGTGACCTAATTGAAAGTAACCACCCGGTTGTGATTGGTCCTAATAATTCCAATCTTCCAAAAATCATCAGTATAATTGCAGAAGGAAAAATTAATGAGACTATTAGCCATGAAGACCCCTGTGCCAAACGCCTAGCTAATGTTGTTCGGCAGATACAGACTTCTGAAGAATTATGGTTGCAATGCATATCCCAACTCGATGAAGACCAGCAGGAAGCTTTACAAGAATTACTCAACGTTGCTTGAAGCACTTTACTATCACTTGAATATCAGCTACCATAAAAATAACTACAAAGTGTTGTGAGTGGATCCATTACAAATGAGAGATACCGCTTCTCTCTGCTAAGCAGTTCATACTTCCATGTTTCTCCAGGATTAGTGTTAAGGTCTTCTGTTCATTTTGCATGTGTCATCTCTTAAAGACACTGTGGTTGTAACTTGTGCTTCCAGTTGTCTTAGAGCTATTTGTCACCTTCCCTCTAGTGTGAAATGTATAAATCATTGCTGTTTGTCTGAACTGTTGACGCTGGGTAAACAGTATACTTGATGCCAAGATGTCTGTGACTATCACAAGATGTAAAGAGCTGACACGGAAGGGAAACTTCCAGGATAAGCATCTTTGGAATTGAGGCTGGAGTATATTAGCAGACTTACTCTTCCTTGGTGATACTTCTGTTCATTATGGTAATGAAAGGATGCTAGAACTGAAAGAGTTTCAGGGTACTACGTGGATGTAGGAGTTTGTTTCTATGCTGTAAATGAACCTTTTCGTATAGAACTCCTGTAAAGTGCTTGGAGCATGACTCCATTCCAGTTTCCAAGGTGTCCGGCTGAGAGTTATGAGAACTTAACCAAATTGGTCTTAAAAAATTACCTAGAACTGAAACATTCATGGGTGTGGAGAAGGAAGTGCTGATACATCTAACCCTGAGAACATGTGACAGACTCTAACAGAGCTTAATAAATAAAAGTAGTCGATGTTTGTGGGAGTCAGTTTCTGTTACATGTTTTAGCAGAGTATTACTTTGTGTTTGTATGTAATATCCCCCTACCCCCACACCAAACAAGGAAGGAAACCTTTATTTGGAATGGGGATTAAATAGATTTGTTTGGAAGCAGTTCCTAACAGATTCTACAGAAACAGTGAGACAAAGTTAATTTTATCTTTAAACATTAAAAAGAAAAGAGCTTTAAGAGTGGTCATGCATCAGTGTATTGTTTTACAAAACAACTCTATGAATTTAGGGTTAATTATATTAATTGAAATGTCTTTACTGTTGAAGGTGTTTTGTAGAGTAGAAAAAAGTTTCTACTTAACAAAACTTCTTTCAAAACTTCCAAACAAGAACGTCTGTTGTGATTTCCTAAGCCTGTTGTGAGTACTGTGTACGTAATGGAGCAAATATGTCAGACCCAGTAAGTGCTCAATAAATTGTCAGTGTTACTACTGTTGGTTCTTCTGCTGTGCTCTTTTTTATACTTTAGAATTTGGTTTACACAGAATTGCCCCCTACTAGTTCTATCTAGACTACTGTAGACAGGATATAAAGTTACTTTTAGGCAGTTAAGATCTTGATATATAGTATGGTTACAGGTGTATTTAAACTAAATAGAAAAATAGCTACCTTGAAGTTTAATCATTTCCTCTGAGTGGTGGGATTAAATGGCAACTTTCCCTCTTGTCTATAATTTACCTGCAAACATATTTCTCATATAATAAAGTGTTTTTTGTAACGTTCAAGGACCTGATTACTGTCATCTTGACCTCTTCATGAACTGGAGTTAAGTTCCTTCTACTTATCTGTATCTTGCTCTTTATGTGGCTTAAGAAATCTTTCAGCAATACATTGTTTTCAATTCATACAGTCTTGTGAAACTCTGCCAAATGATTTGTAATTGGGTCCTGGAGTTTTGAAGAGAGTTTTTAAATTTGAATCTTGGCAAACTATTTTCTTAAGTGTTCATTTCCCCATCTGCAAGATAAGGATAATCCATAGCTTATGGGATTGTTGTAGGAATCGAAGGAGATAATGAATAAAAAGTGCTTAGCAGCACAAGGGTCAATAAATGGAAGCTACTGTGTGAGGATTTGAAATAGGTCTGGTGGCTAAAAGGGAGTGGGCATTTGCTTGAGTTTGGTAGGCTTTAGATTCCTGGGTTTTGTCAAAGGAAATGAAGGAAGCCCAACCAGACATATCTACCAGTTGCTGAAGTAGAACTGGCCCCTACCTTTTCCCCCATGAGCTGAGGTATGTCTGAAGAGAGGAAACCATAAATACCAGATGAGTACATGCATGTGTGAAGGTGAGTGTAAGTACTCCAAAAACTCATGTTCACTTTTCACTGTTTTTTTTTTTAACCTACAACTGATATTTAACTTACCGATCCTCCCACAACAAAGTTTTAAGGCATTACATTTTATCAGTCCTTTAAAAGTCTTTGTTTATACAGAAGGAAACAATCTTGAAGGTGAGATTATCTCAAACTTTTAGATATAAATTTTATGTTCAAATTGCATTTCTATAGTTTTGGTTTTCTGTATCATTCCAAGTTTCAAGCAAGTAAGTCTGAATAGTATGTGCATTAGAAAACAGTAATGTCTATTTTATGTCTTATTACTATCTCATTAATTTCCCCCTTATTTTATGCAACATGTAAACTAATGTGAATGAGTCCACTTTTTAGTCATTTAAAAATTAAAAATATGTAGCGAGATTGTTAAAGCCATACCGACGACAAGCTGTACGTACAGCTTAGAGTAGAAATAAGTGGAGACTTTATAGCGAGCTTGCATTCTCTTCATTGTGAGCCGAACTGAAGAATCCAAGTGTTTTTCAGTTTTAAAATTTCAATAGAAAACAGGATTCGATTTAAAAATATAGTTTTAAAAATGTTAACTGGGATCTGGCGTTTCGAGAACTAGGGTTCTACAATCCTCCACTCGTCTTTTGCGGAGTCCTTAAACTTCCTTTCTCATTTTTCCTAAAGCTAGTTTTATGTAAAAAGACCGGCAGTCACAAGGGAGGAGGGGTGCAAAGATACTATTTTACTACGGAGACGATTTACTTCTGTGCATTTCCGTTATTCACTTGTCCTTAATAAAGGTTGCCTAGTAACTGCTTTGAGAAAATAGTATTAAAAGTTGTAGGACCAGCAAGGGGGCTCACAGAAGCACTTTTCAGGCTTTGCAAGCGCGGCGCAGGCGCCCTGCGTCTCCCTCCACTCCACCCCTTACACAAGTCCGCATGTTGATGACATCACCGGCCCGCCTCCACACTCGGCCTCCGGGGCCGGCGGGGCGGCCAAGTCCTGGCTTTGGCGTAGCAGGGCGGGACGCAAGGGGGGGGCGGGGCCACCCCGCGGCACTACGCATGCGCGCCGGGAATGGCGACGGCGCCTCTTTCTTTGCCTCTCTCCCCGGCTCTCCCCGGCTGGGGGTGCTGAGTGCCCTCCCCTTTCCCTCTCCGCCCCTCCCCTTAACTCCCCCCCCCCCCCGCCGCCCAGCGGGGCTTCTAACTGACAGTTGTCGCCGGGCCCGGTCCGTGCGCCGCCTCCTCCTCCTGCCCAGGTCCCCCCGCAGGTAGCCAGGGGCGGGAGGGGGTGTGAGGGAGAGGAGGAGCCGGAGCCGCGGCGGCCCGGTGCTGCGGCTCCCTCGGGAAGGAGGAGAGCCCTCTTACTCCTCGCCCCCTCCCAGCGCCCCGTCGGCCCGGGAGGGGGTGGGGCGCCGAGGCCGCGCCGGCCGGGCCGGTGAGCGAGCGAGCGGGCGAGCGAGCGGGCGGGCGGGCGGGGGGCGGGGGGTGCAGCCGGCGCGGGCCTCGCGCCGCCGGGGGGGAGGGGAGAGAGGAGGGCACCTCGGCTCTCCTCTCTCCCCCCCTCCCCTGCGCGCCATGTAACCCCGCCCCGCGGGCGCGAGCCTGAGACCCCCGCGCGCGCGCGGGTCCCGGCCGGCGACGGGAGAGAGCGCGGCGGCCCGATGCGGCAGGGGCTGCGCGGCGCCACGGCTCTCTGAGGAAGCGGCCCCCGCGCTCCCGCGTCTCCCCGCGCCTCGAGCGGCCGCTCCTCTCCGCCCAGCCTGGGCCCGCCGGGGGGGCATGAGCGTGCCGGAGACGCCGGGGGAGATGGAGCGGGCCGCCGAGGAGGAGCGGCCGCCACCGGCGACCGGGGAAGGGAACGAGGAGGAGGAGGAGGAGGTGGTGGCAGCGGCGGCCCGGGCCTCGAGGCTGGTCCGCAGGAGGAGTGCCTCCTCGTTGGACGACGAGGAGGAGGAGGAAGAGGTGGCGGAGGCGACGGTGGTCGCGGGCGGTGGCTGCAAGGAGCAGGACCTGACCTACGAGCTGCAGCAGGGCTACCGCATCCTGGGCGAGTTCCTGCAGGAGAAGCACCGCGGCCTCACCGCCCCTTTCCTGCAGCCCTTGGGGGGCGTTGCCGCCGGGGACGAAGAGGTGGCCGAAGGGCGGCGCAGCAGCGGGGGCCGGGGCAGTCGCGTCCTCCCGCAGCAGCCTGGCCAGGGCATGTGTCTGTTGAAGATGGAGGAGAAGTTCTCCAGCGGCCAGTACAGGGGCATCACGGAGTTTGTGGCGGACTTCAGGTTGATGCTGGAGACGTGCTACCGCCTGCATGGAGTCGACCACTGGATCTCCAAACAGGGCCAGAAACTGGAGATGCTGCTGGAGCAGAAGTTGGCGCTTCTCTCTCGGTAAGCGAGCCGGGTCCCTGGTGGGACTGACAGACCGACACAAACACACCCGCACACGTGTCCGAGGAGGGGCTGGGCCAGGGCCTGGGGGGCGGCGCTGATAGGTGCTGAGACGGTGCTGGAACCGCGGGAGGAGGAGCAGCGCTGGGCGCGGGGCCGGAGGGGTGTGGTGGGCATGGCTGGAAGCGGGAGTGCATCCACGTAGAAGCCTAGAAGGAAGCCCGGTCCTAGGAATCCAAAACGCCCAAGAACAGGCAGAGAGGTTCTAGATGTAAGAGCCACACGAGTAGGCAGAGGGAAAGCCTTTTGTAGGATGGAAGTTGAACCCGCCACTTGTAGACGGTTTAAGACAGCGTGCAGGGGAAGAAATAATTAGAGAAGAAATACTTACTTCTTTAGAGAAATAATTTTGGCTCGTGTAGAAAGATGGTCGCGTAAAAATTTTCTACTATCAGTTTCAGCCGTTGGAAATTTAGTGTTATTAAATGATTCCGTTTCATCTGAGGAAGTTAAATTTTTGCAGTGACAAGAAATGAGTGCACAATGTCTTTCTTAAGTTTAGACTTGCATGGGGGGGTGTGTCTGTGTCTTTTTCTTCTAGTGCTAGATAGAACAGAGGGTTTCAAACATATCGGACAAGCACTCTACCACAGAGTTAAGTACCCAGTCTTAGAAAATTGTTATTCTACCAGAAATTACAGGTAATTCACATTGTACCATGCTTTTGGTATACATCATCTATTTACTCCCCCCCTTTTAGGAAGGGAATATAAGTTAACATAGGACACTAAAATTAAGGTATTTTATACAATAATCACTATATAGTGGGCATGAGTCCGGTTAATTAAAATTCTTCAGTAATAGCAATATCTTTAAATATTAGGAGTGCTAATAAAGATGGAATAATTTATTACCAGAGTTTTTTTATTTTGTGTGTGTGTGAGAGAGCGTGTATGTGCACTTGTGTGTGGGAGCGTGATCACAAAGTGGAAGCCAGAAGAAAGTGTCTGGTGTCTGCTATCATTCTCCACCTTTTCCTTTGAGGCATGACCCCTCTCTGAACGTGAGGCTTGCATTTTCCTAGAGATTGGAAGCCAGCAAGCCCCAGCCAGCCTACTGGCTTCCTTTGGAGGTGGGGTTATGGGCTTGTTCCGTGGTAATGAGAGCTGAACTCGAGTCCTCTCTATTGGGCACCAAGGGCCGTTACTACTGAACCATCTCTCTAGTCCCTGGAATAGGAGTTTGACTGTTTATTAGCTGAATGAACTTGACTGAACCACTTTTTTTGGCCTGTTTCCTTGCCTATAAAATGGGAACAATATTATCTACTTAAAAAATTGCTATGAGCCCTAAATGGGTTTTTTTAAAAAACAAAGGCAATACTGTTGGTCATGTAACTCAATGTAATAATCACAGTAGTGCAATAAAATGAATATTATCTCAAGTCTGAACCTGGGCATTTTATATATGTAAAATAATCTATTCTGCATTTATCTTTGGCTGCTCATATATTATTTTCAAATCTATTGCTGACTAATTTCACTGAAAGAGTAATATGGTGAATGCCTAAGTCATTAAAAAGCAAATTCCCTGTAAACAAACTAAAGTTGTTTTTGCATTCTTCAATAAAGTAGAATTATTTGGTAATAGGCTAACTATTTACAAATTAGCTTTGTAGAGTATTTTAATATTTTTATTTGGTGGTTGATATTTCTTACTGTGTTACTCATCTTTACAGAGCATTGTGGCAGATATGGTACATATTAAGAAACAGTCCATTCACATGTCATCATTTTAAAAAGCTTTTTTTAAAAAAAGATTTATTTTTAATGCCAGTGTGTGTGTGTGTGTGTGTGTGTGTGTGTGTGTGTGTGTGTGTGTGTGTGTGTGTGTGCGCGCGCGCGCGCGCGCGCGCGCGCGCATATGTGGAGGAGGTTATTAATGTGCATGTAAGTGCAGTTGCCCTTGGAGGCCAGAAGTGTTTGTCAGATGCACTGGAGCTCAAGTTACAGGTGGTTTGAGAGCCACCTGAAGTGAGTTGGAGGACTCAAACTCTGGTCCTCTGGGAGAGCAGTAAGTACTCTTAACCATCTGAGCCATCTCTCTAGTCCCACATGTCGTTATTTTTAAATAGCTAGATATACTCCATACTGATGTCACAGGATTTTAAACACAGAAGGAACCCTAGAGTTCTTGTAGTCCATCTAGTTTTACAGGTGGAGAAAACAGGCATGTAGAATGAGATAGAACAGCTTCGTGGAAGTTCTAGAAAGTAGCATATAGATATAGGTAAACTGTAGATATTTTCAAAATTACTGTGTACATAACAAATCTTTGGCCTCCAAAAGGACATGTTACTCTTTTCTGTTATGCAGGGGTTTTTGTTTTTTGGGTTTTTTTTTTTTTTTTTTTTTTTTTTTTTTTTTCTTCGAGACAGGGTTTCTCTTTGTTGTTTTGGTGCTTGTCCTGGATCTCGCTCCGTAGCCCAGGCTGGCCTCGAACTCGCAGAGATCTGCCTGGCTCTGCCTCCCAAGTGCTGGGGTTAAAGGCTTGCGCTACAACTGCCTAGCGCAAAAAATTTATAAGTATCATTATGCCCAGTGTTTTATGCCCAGTAATATTCCCATGTGATCTAATAGTGTCTACACTTAGAAATTAAACTTATAATGTTGTAAAGTTAATAAAAAATACTTATCTCTGATTCATTAGGCCAAAAGAAATAAGTTTTGTGTTTTAGTAGCAAAAGTAATATGATAGTCTCAAATAGATAAAGTTGAGTCTCTCATGTTTTTGTACCAGTATTTGATGTATGCAAACATTTTGTAAGTGCTAGACTATATTTGTGGATGCTAAAAAAATTTTCTTATAATGTATTAGCTTAAAATCTGAGTCATAACTGAGTAAGTGTTTTGAGTGGGCGGAACTTGGTGAAAGTTACAGCTGCTTGGAATCTAAGTTAAATATATAGATGTTCTAGAACAGTATACTACAGACTTTGTGTGTGATTAGGATCGTCAGGAAATAGATAACTTTGTGACTGTCTTAAAGTGATACATGGTATGTTAGTAATTAAGCCATGTTATTTGATTTCCCTTGTCTTGTGATATGTCTTTCTTAGATACCTAGTTAACTGTTATTTTCAAATGGTAAAGATGACTTTGAAGTGGCTGCATATATGAAGCTGGCAAGAAGGCTCAGTGGGTAAAGGCAGCTGCTGCCAAGCCTGAGAACCTGAGTTTGATCCCTGGAATTCATGTGGGAAAGGGAGAGAATTGATTCCTGAAAGCTGTCCTCCGACTTTCAGTTGTGGAGATACACACCCCCTTCCATAAATAAATGTAACAAAAAAAAAATGGTTTTTGAGCTGCTCCATACTGTTGCGCTTTCTGTTGAGCATTTGCTGAGGTATATTAGGTAAAGATGCCACATTATCATTAGAGAGCAGCCTAGTGGTCCTGGTCCTGGAACATGTTAAAACAAATCTCAGTTTCTTCATCCATACAGTGAAAATGTTAGACTTGCTTAGTTGATGGTACAAATATTTCTATATTTAGTAGAGTTAGGCATTGTCCTTGAAACGAAAACATCAAAACTAAAAGTGGTGGCACACACCTTTAATCCCAGCACCAGGAGGCAGAGGCAGGCAGATCTCTGAGTTTGAAGCTAGACTGGTTTACAAAGCAAGTTCCAGAACAGCCAGAACTACACTGAGAAACCTGTCTCAAAAGAAGAACAACATGGGGGCGGGAGGAGGGAGAGAAGAGAGAGAAATGAAACATCAGTCTTTGCCCCCAAGTGGTATGGAAACATTTAAAATAATAATTATATGATTATTATAACGATTGTATAATGAATATACAGAACAAAACTTGAGGGGAAGTTGGCGTAAAGCTTAGGGAGAAGGGGGAGCGGGGCAGGTGAGAGGAGAAAAAGAGTAGTTTAAAGCTGCTGGAGGGTTTATACTTGAACTGATTCTTAAAGGAGTTGAATAATGTTCTTGGATTTTTCAGGAGGGTTATATGGGAACATTCCAGAATGGTAAACTACAGTGAATGCAAAGTATGAAACAGTTTCTAGAAAGTACAAATAATTCTGTATGCTTTGGTAGGGGTCTAAAATCATATCCATGCCACAGAAAGGTATGTAGAATGATCCATTGAGGAAGGGAAGAAAGTATGAGAACTTGTTTTAGCTTGTGTCTTTGTGGCTTTTATAATAGTGTTAAACATAGAAACCTATAAACAAAGTTTGTGTGGGTTATTAAATTGTTTCTTTCAGAATTAGGCTTGAGACTCAGGTCTGTTCTTTCAGTTTCCAAAACCTGGTTAAATGCTTGCAAGCATTCTAAATAGAGCTACAGATATCTATTCTTTTTCTAAAGTGATGCCGTATTTTTGAAAGGCCCAACATACTTTTTTAAGTAATTAATTTAAAAACTATACTTAATACTACTTGTCTTAGTTTCTGCTGCTGTTTTTAAACACCATGACCAAAAGCAACTTGGGGAGGAAAGGTTTAATCTTACAGTTCCATAGTAAACACTATCACTGAGGGAAGTCAGGGCAGGGACTCAAGGCAGGAACCTGGAGGCAGGAACTGAGGGAGAGTGATAGAGGGGTGCTCTCCATGGCTTGCTCAGCCTGCCTTTGTAGTTGGAAGATTTTTCCAGTCCTGCCCGGGCCCTGCGGTCAGGACAAATCTCTCACCCACAGTCCCATAACCTTTTATAAAATAATCACACAGAGGCTTAATATTATTTATAATTGCTTGGCCATCAGCTCAGGCTTATTACTGACTAGCTCTTACACTTAAATGAACCCATAATTCTTATCTATGTTTAGCCATGTGGCTTGGTACCTTTTTTCAGTTTTGTCTTGTCATCTTGCTTCTTCTGTGTCTGGCTGGCGACTCCTGACTCAGCCTTCCTCTTCCCAGAATTCTCGTCTTCTGCTGGTCCTGCCTATACTTCCTGCCTGGCTACTGGCCAATCAGCGTTTTAT